TATATATATATAAGCTAGTTTTAATTTATAAATAAATTTATTTTAATTTATATATTTTTCAATTTTTTTCATATAAACATATTTGAAAAAGTTTATCTTCAACAAGCTTAATCTTGATCTAACTCTATTCTCTTGCTTTTATGGTGTGAGAAGACTGTGCCAGGTTATGATGTTGCTGGCATAGTAGTGAAAGTTGGAAGAGAAGTAAAGAAATTTAAGGTTGGGGATGAAGTGTATGGTGATATCAACGAGGCAGGGTTGGAGAACATTAAGATTCTTGGCACTTTGTCAGAGTATACTATTGCAGAAGAGAAACTATTGGCTCATAAACCATCCAATCTAAGCTTCATTGAAGCTGCTAGCATTCCTTTGGCACTTCAAACTGCTAACGAAGGTTTTGAGCATGCTCACTTTTCTGCTGGCCAATCTATCCTTGTTTTGGGTGGAGCTGGTGGAGTTGGAAACTATGTTATTCAGGTACATATATATACTAAAGGATTGTTGCAATTAATACATCTACAGACAATAATTTATACAATTTGTGCAGATTATTTTGTGAATATATTACTCTTTATTACATTATTTATTATATTTCAAGTTTCTCTTTCTCTATCTTAATTGTACAAATTGTTATATAAATTGTTGTGTGAGTATCTTAATTGTACACTGTCTTGTAAGATAATAATTAGAAAGAGAAAGCAAAACATATGATGTAAGAGTAGTGTAAAAAAATTAAATATCAAAAAAATATATTTTAATTTGTATTAAGAGTCACCTTCTCATTTTTTGGAAAGTTATACAGTGGTCATCATATGTGTTTGATATCTTCATGACTATATCCTTATTAAGTGCCTTAAAAGGTATAGAATTTTCTTTGACAAATTTTCTCTTCCTGCAAGAAAGAGGACACATGCACCTTCTTTTTTCTTTTCTTGTTCTTCTTTTCTCTTTTATTGGCATATATATGATGGAGAGAACCTAGTAATTACTGCTATGTCTATGTTTGGTGCAGCTTGCCAAACAAGTTTATAAAGCATCTAAGATAGCAGCAACTGCTAGCACCGGGAAGCTCAAACTTTTAAGGGAGTTGGGAGTTGACTTGCCTATTGATTACACAAAGGAAAACTTTGAAGATCTTCCACAAAAATATGATCTAGTGTATGATGCAGTAGGTCAGACCTATGAACCTATATCTCTGCATTTGATTTTAGATTACTTTGCATAAATTTATTTAATTATAAGTATTTTTTTAAAAATTATAAACTAAAACTAACTTATACATAAATATAAATTAAAAACATTTTTCAGATAACTTAATATAGAAGACTTTCTACATCTGATCTAATGTATAAATTAATTTTAGAATTGAAAGAATATTTTTTTAATTTTAAGAAATGATCATAGTAACATTTTCTTATTAATATTTTTTTTTATTATTGATTGAAAATTATAATTTTGACTGTTCATATCATAAAATTATTAGAAGAATGATTCGTTAAATAAGATACTAGATCTACAAAATTTGTTATTTTTAATAAATTTCATGTAATGATAAAAATGTTAAAAAGAGAGTGTTAGGTACCTTATGATACTAAAACTGAACATTAATTTGTTTCTCATGATACACAAAATATCGCATGTTTACCAAAAATTAACATTGATTTGTAGGGCAAACTGATAGAGCACTGAAGGCCATAAAGGAAGGTGGGAAAGTTGTGACAATAGCACCACATGCCCAACTTCCACAAGCTATTTTCTTCATCATCACATCCAAGGGATCTACCTTAGACAACTTGAGACCTTACTTTGAGAGTGGTCAATTGAAGCCAATTCTCGATCCAAAGACTCCAGTACCATTTTCTAATGTCATTGAAGCCATTTCCTACTTAGAAACTTCAAGAGCCACAGGAAAAGTGGTCATTTATCCCATACCCTAACCATACTATTAACTCACATGATGATATAATGATATTTGATGATGAACCTTTTAACTAAAGTGTGTACTTTTATGATAAATAATTAAGGTCAATATGCTTCTTGTTTATGTAACAAAGCTGCTACCTTGCTGCTGAATATAAAGATTGGTAATGGACCATTAAGTATATGAATGGATCAACTGGTGTGTATTTGTTTCAGCATTATCAATAGTCTTAACTCTCAAATTTAAGTTATAGGTAGTTGTATTAAATATTCACATAGAAAAAGAACTTAATTATTTGTAATAGTCTTACTCGATTCGAATAAGATTGTTTATGATAGAGGATATCCGTGTAGTTTATACCAAAATAAATAAATAAGATTGGTACCGGATGTATATATGATAATCTGAATCCATGATCTATTATATGTTCATGCTGTTGAAATTGTAGGTTGAAGTGGACAAGAACTCTTTTTCTCACAAAGTGTTCAATTCTCATTTGTCTTGAATTGTATCATCTCAATCTTTAGCAAAATAACTCCATCTCAAGGCCTGTTATAACGGAAGCCCAATTAAAACTATTCCAAGCAAAACAAATGGAAAAAGGACCAGAAATGACAGGCAGAACTGCAGAAGTTTCTAGGCCTAAGGGATTAAATGGACCTAGTTGGGCCATAAGGCCCATGACGTTGAAAAATGTAAGTTTTGGAAGGTTAAAAATTTTAACACTTCCGAAATTTAAGAGATAGAACTATGGGTGGCAAAACGGGTCAGTCCGCCCTGTTTTGGCCCGTCCCGCCAATGGCCCGCCAAAAATGGGCCGGGTCGGGCTGGCCCGCCAATGAAAAATGGGCTGAAAATGCTGGCTCCCTGTAGCTGCAACTTCATGCGTTTGCCATGCTATTTGGCTACGCAACCTATTGAAGGAGTTAAGCTTGCCACAAGTGGAGCCAACAAAGATTTACGTGGACAACAAGTCGGCAATAGCATTAGCAAAAAACCCAGTCTTCCATGATCGAAGTAAGCACATCCACACCTGTTACCATTACATTAGAGAATGCATCAACAACAAGGATGTGCAAATGGAATATGTGAAGACGCATGATCAGGTAGCAGATATCTTCACCAAACCGCTGAAGAAAGAAGTCTTTATGAAGTTGAGAAGTTTGCTTGGAGTACAAAATCAAGTTTAAGAGGGGGTGTTGGAATATAAATTGATTTTGTATGTTGGGCTTAAAAGATAAAAGCCCAATATTAGCAAAGGCCCAAATAGAATTCTAGAAAATCCTATCTAAAAGATTCTAGAATGATGTACAAAATATTTATAGATGTTTATCCATAAGATGTTTCTAGATAAGTTTAGAAAAGTTTAGAATTATAGGAATGTTTTAGAAAGTTCTAGAGAATGAATTATAGCCCTTAGATGAATGTTGTGGTGGCAAGATCCTAACCATTGGTTAAGGAGGTGCCACTAGTATAAATAGGGGATGGTTGTATCATTTGGATGTAAGCCAAAAAGTTTAGAAGCATTCAATACAACAAGTCTTTCTTTTTCTCAAAATCTTCCAACCTCTCCCAATCTTAAACACTTCCTTTTAGCCTTTAAAGTTTCTTCCCAACACTTTCATGTAACTATAACCTTGTATGCATGTCCAAATACACACACGCACTTGAAGATAAACACATGACTCACAGGTGCGACATAGGTTCCGTTATAAAATATAAATATAGTGAAAACAGTCAAAACATTAATGCATGAATCATACTGACTAAAAGGTTGGTGCAATACTGTCAACTTCCTGGTGAACGCAATATGTTAATTTTCCCTCTTGGCCTATCATTAATATGATTACTTGCAAAATACAAAAGCTAACATCTGTAGGCCAATATGTTTAATGAAATTCAAGCTCAATAATATATCACTGTATAACTAGCAGAAAGATAACCAAAGTTCAACATATGCATCATAAAAAACCAAACGAATAAAAAAAATTTTATAAAACCCAGTGCTGATGATGTAGTAATTTTAATGAAGAAAAAAATTGACAAGTAGAGAAATATTTCTAATGGAATCAAATGTGTAGCTCTTACGCTGTGGTTCATACTGCACCCCAGCAGTCACCCTTCCCATCTTGCTTACCAGCCGTGCACTTTTCGGTAATTCATCTCTCACTGTAAGATATGGCAATTACATAGCAAAGTTTGTTTTCATTATTTCTCCAAACGGATCATAAATAAATACTTAAAAAAATCTATAATGAAATGTAAAATTTAGAGATCATGGACAAAACAATTATAATCTCTAACTTTAAACATTGGATGCAAAAGCATCAGTTATGTATAAATCTCTTATATTCTTTACACAGAGAACTATATATCTGCAATTTTAATAAAGAAATATTTAATTTATATAATAAGTAAGGTAAATGCTAACTAATGTCTTTAGAGTATGTTTGATGCATACTAAGGTAGAGTATACAAGAAGAATAACACAGGACAAAGCATAAGTTAACAACTTTTGACTTTGTACATTGTTTAGTAAATAATGGATAGCACAAGCAACATAATGTCAAATTTATTGCAGTATCCTGTTTAATATTAAGGTTTAATACATCTGTTGTTATGATTTTTTTGGGTTTTTTCAAATAGATCTCTAAATTATAAAATTTGTAATTGAGTCCTTAATTTTTTCAAATGTTTGTAATCAGGTCCATGGGACAAATGTTACAAACCGCTAACTTTGCCTAGAGACTTGATTATAAAAATTGAAAAAGAGAAGGGATATAGTTAAAAAAAATTATTTGTTAAAATGTTTTTTATTGTGAAATGAAAAATACTATTTTCTAAAATAATTACGTATAGAAAACAAAAGTTATAACTCCTTTTAAAGAATTAGAGAGGTCAAATTTAGTCTAACCCAATAATTTGATGAGTCAAGTCAAACTAGGTCGCTTAGCAAAAAAAAAAAAAAAAGTCAAACTAGGTTGAACTCTTTATTTTGAATCTTGAAAAGAGTAAGGCCAATTTAGTCTAAACTAGATGGGTCAAACAGGAAAAGCCAGGTCATGAAAAAGTTGGTTGAAAAGTTACTAGCTTATTTAACTGATTTTTTTCTTATAAAATATATAATTTGGCCGCTAATATTAATTATCTTAATGAATTCTTATTAATTACAACAACATGATGATAGCGGTGACAATATTGGTGACAACAACAATGGTGGTGATGCAGCAAAAGTTATGAAGGTGGTGATGATTTTGTCTTGTGTATTTTATACTTGGAATAAAATTTGTCTCATGATTTATTGAATAAAAAAGTTTTTGTTTCATCCTTTTTAGTGTAATTTGTCCTCTCCAATAAATTTTTTTGTAAATCAAACTTGGAACAACATAATTTTTAGTAAATCAAATGGGCCCTCAGAAGACTAGTTAAGGATATCATTCATAACCATGATTTTCAATACATCCTCAATATGATTTCCAATAAAAGCTTTTATTCTTTAAAAAATGTCTTTAGAGTTTTGGTTAACAAGACCCTAACTTTTTTAAAAGTTCTAGGATGATAATTTTTTTAAAAATAAAAATTGAAAACTCAAAAAAAAAATTAATATTGTTCTTAAAAGCTAAAAAGGGTAGCTTATTAAAAAATCAAACAATTAAATCATAAAATCACTTTTATTCAAAACTTATTCAAACACATCCTAAATATGCTTATTGGCATAAATGGGGAACATACCAGCAAAAGGACTAAATGTGACTCCAAAGGATAGATTTTCAGAACCATATCTCAACCCCATGTGGCCATAATGTTCAGACGATTGCCTGTAATTGATTAACTTTGTCAACACTGTATATATAATCCGTGGATCGTGGGTAAACTACAATAAGAACCTAACACATGCATCTTCCCCCATATCATCAAACAAACCCACCTTTTCAACAGCAAAGGGAACACTCCAAAAGCCCCAAATCCATACTTGGGATGGTAAGTGCATGATCTCATCTGTAAAATCCTGAATAGACAGACCACGCAGAATATTCATAAAATCAAATAGATCCATTGTTTAGTTTGATTCAAGGACGTAAAGGAAAGAGAATGGACGGTAAATTTATTTAAAAGAAAAGATTTAAGAGAGCTATACAGAACAAGGATGCAAGTATCACCCTCTATTCTCTATTACCAGGTAGATCTCATGTAAGACATTTTTTAGGGGACACACATGCCATTAACATAATGATATATAGAGGCAGTATTGAAATGAGAATGTTACCAGCATTTTTGCACTTAGTATACTAGTATTTATAACAACAACAAAAAATAAATTAAGGAATGAATAATGAAACCATAAAACTCAGTTGTAGTTCTTTAACTCAGATGTAGTTCTTTGAGTGCTATTGCTATTTTTCTCCGATTAAAAAGAATTTCATTGAATAAGTTCCCAAAGTCAATTTCGAATTTTTAATCGGAGTAACACCAAAAGCAAGGAACCACATCTAAGTATTGTCCTTCCTCTCTAAATTTAAAATGAAAAACAACACTCTCTTCATTTTCCCAAACACAAACATTCCTCTCAGGTAACAGGGACTTACGGATCAGAAGAGGATACAGAAATGTCGATAAACGAATGAGGATCCTTAGCATCACTGCACACCGAAAAAAAAAAAAACACAAAAAACAACAATTTTATTTTTAGAATAGAAACTCTCAAAAAAATATTTCTAAACTTTATCTAAATAAGAGTTTGTTTGAATTAACTAGTAGAACTTTTTTAGAATATGTTTAATAAATTTTTCAAAAATACTTTTAAAAAAATATACAAAAATAAATCCATAAGATCATTTGTAAAAGTTGTCTAGCATCACTGCACAACCATAAAAAAACCAATATATATAGAAACTTTCAAAAAAAAAATTTAAAATTTTATCTAAATAAAAGTCAGTTTAAATAAACTAGTCTAACTTTTGAGAACTTTTTAGAATATATTTGAATAAACTTTTTAAAGATACTTTTAAAAAAATATATAAAAAATTCAAAAGAAAATTTGTAAAAGCTGTCTATTAATAGCTTATACAACATCTTAGTTTAAATTGTGTATTTATTTTCATTAATTAAATATAATACTTTCTTATCAAGTGATCCTTGCTCCATGCTCAAAGTCAAATCAAATTCCAATCCTTTTGATAAGGAATTTTGATGAATTTTTTTTTAATTCTAAAATATACTTACTAAAAAAAACCTTTATTTTCTCCACAAAAAAAATGAACTTTTATCTAAAGAGACTCCATCAAGGTTTTGAAATAGAACAAAACCTTTGCCGGCCAAATAGCGCATTTCCCGTAACACTTTCTTCGGCCTTATGATCAAGAGGACCTGAAACCTAAACACATTACAAAATTCATAAACACTTTTGTTTTTATTTTTTCAGTTTCCGTATGACACAAGTTTCAAAAGGAGAAGAAATGAGAAGATACAGTTGCAATAATGAGATCGAAGCGAGGATCGTCGATTGGCTTGAGCATGACTCTGGTGAAGTGTGTGGCCTGCTCGAAGTAGTCTTGGAAGAGGGAGGTGAGTGCGAGCTTGGCGAAAACGACGTCGTAGGAGGAGTGGAGCATGCGGTTGCGCATGGCGAGCGGAGGGAAGTCGAAGAGCGGCGGCACCTGCACCACCTTTGCTGGTTCTCTGCTCCAGAACATGGTTGTTGGTGTTCTAGGGTTTCAGTTGGTGTGTGGAGTCAAAGAAAATGAGAAATCTCAACAACTACAAAAGAAGGTTCTGCAACACTCCCACTATAAATGGTTGCTCTCCCGCGCCATTCTCATGCAGTTACAAACTTACGATCCCATCTCATAGTACATTTACCGCATTACCCCTATAATTGTTTTTAGTTTTTTTTTTTTGTAATGGGCAGATACCAGGTGAACTGGGATGGACTTTGGAACGGGCTGGTTGGCCCATTTAGAGATGACTGGACTCAATTCAGTAGTCCAATCTGACTTGTCTTAATTTAATTCCTAGAATATTATATTTATTCAGATTTAAGGACAGATTAAAATTTAAAACATTAACATCTTTTATTTATATTTTTATATTAATGTCAAATTTTTTTAGAAAAATAAATATTATTTAATTTATATGCTATCATTATAACGATGAGACAAATTATTTTTAAAATCTCAATATATTAAAGAACTTATGTTACTTATATTTTGAGTTAATATAATTTTTTCTTAAATAAGTTTAGTTATAATTCAATTAAAAGATTATCATATTCATTCGAGTGCAGAGTTTAAAATTTGACCCAATCAAAAATTAAAATGTATTAGAGTTAAACATAATCTAACCCAACTCATAATTGATTTAAGTAAGTCAAAAAGGATACAAAAGATTAAATTGATTTAAATTTACAAAATAAATAATTAAAATAAATATTTTAAAAGATAAAGGATTAAAATAAGTTTAAAAAATAAGATAAAGAACTAAAAGTATAATTTAGTCTATTTAGTTTAATGTGATTTATCAAATATCATTTCTATTTTTTTATTAACTATGAAATTATTAATTAAAGTTTTATAATTAAGCATTTTTTTAATACTTTAGTGACGATATATAGAAACATATTTATTTAATTTATCTTTCAATTTTATCTTTTTTATCATCTAAATTGCATATTTACTCTCTCTGTTTTTATCGATATGTAATTTTGATTCCTCTATTTTAAAATAGAGATATTTAGTTTCTTATTTTTTTGAAAAATATGAAATTTTGATCCTTCATCAATTTGATGTTCGTGTAACATTATATTTTATCTCTATCACCACTTAAGGAATATGATATTTAATGATGCAATATATATAGATAAAATTAAGAATAACATATAATTTTTTTTTTGTATGTATCTATTTTTACAAGTAATTTATATTTATTTTATTAATAAAAATCTTATTTGTATATATTTTTTAATTTTTTTATTTCTAAATGTTATATTACTAAATATTATATTAATTATGAGTAAACATCAAAATTTAAAGATTAGTAGATATCAATTTGATAAAAGAACTAAAATTTTGTATTTTTAAAATTAAAAAAAAAACTAAATATTTCTATTTTAAAATAGAGTACGAAAATTATAGATTAATAAAAATAGAGAGAGTAAAGTACAATTTAAATTGTCTAATTCTCTATGATTAAGTAAGATCATTAGTTTATTTAATAACATTAACTTTGTTTTTTTTAAGTTACTCGTAAATACTGTACTTTATCAATTACTATTTAACTTATCAATTATATATTGATTTGTAAAAATTGACTTTAATTAAAAGTATTTCTTTAACATGATAATTAATATAAAAAAATATTTTAATTGATTCTTATAATAAAAAAATATCAAATAATATTTTTAATTTAAGTTTTATATAATCAAATTAATGGAGTAATTAGTAATAAATGAAATTTGAATAACTCTTTTATCATCAAAATTTGAATAATTTTACTTTTAAAAGGTACTACATTAACAAAAATATGTATAAATATTATATTTTAGAAAGTACCAACAAAATAATCATGATAAGCAATGTTATATATGGTTATTGTTACGACAGTTATGTGTTATATTCATGTCACTTTGTAAGTCGTGTGATCCCGTGACTTGTACTCACAAGTGGGAAGGCATGTATGACACAAATTAAATACGTAAGCAATACTCACAAGTATATGTGAGGACTTTTCTTTTTTGATAAAAGCATGTGAGAACTTTACCTATAAGGGTACTCAACATGGTGATGATTCTTGGAAGACCACAAAACAAAGAGAAAGAAAATAGAACACTAGCGATGGCAACGGGGCACGTTGGGTATGAGTTTCATGATATTCGTTTCTGTTCTCGCGAGTCAAACTTATCTCTGTCTCTATCCTCGTACTTATCGGGTATGTGATTTTTATCCACATTCTCGTTCCCGTCGAGTATCGAGTATACCCTGCCCGTACCCGTACTCGTTAATTTTTTTATTTTTTATTTTTTTGTAAAAAAATGATATTTTTAAATTATTTTTTATTATAATTATAATTAAGTTATTTCTCTATCTCATATTATAATAAATAATCAGTACGGGACGGGTAAGTACATACCTGTACCTGTACCCGTACCCGATTTAGTATATCGAGTTTTATCCATACTCGTATCCGTACCCGGTCAAACCAAGTATTCCTCGTCAAAATCGAGACGGGTTCGAGTATTATTTGCAAATACGAGGTATATTTGCCATCCCTGTAAACCACTACTTATATTAGTAAAATTTACCAATTTTGTGCCTCATTTACCAATAATTCAAGGGTTTGTTTTGTTTTAAAAATGATTTTATACCTGCTCATAATTACAAAATATCATATTATTTTACTTCATTATATGATCTCAATAATTTGTATAGACAATGATGAGAATGTAAAAGTGCTATTTTTACCGTTTCACGTTCAAATATTTTAAAATAATCAAGGAATACAACGACAATAAAAAGATTAAAAAAATAATACAATGTTGATATAATATTCAATAATAAACTATTACTTTATATTTATATATATATATATATATAATTTATAGACTTTTATAATAATTATTTTTAAGAATGAATTGTCATTTATATTTATAAAAGAATATTTTTTTAGTGAATCATTATATTTGTCAAATATTTAAAATATATTTTTATTTCATTTAAATAATTATCTATAATTATCTAATATCTTATGTTTTTGCAAAGATACGAAGTATCTTAACTTTTTTAATAAATTGATAAAGTAAAAGTTTTACTTTAAAAAAAGATAAACCTTAAAAAACACTAATGCATTTTTTTTATCAACAATATATTTTATTTTTCCTTTCAGCTATAAATTGCACGAAATTATTTATATAATTTTATTAACATTGTCCCATAATTTACATGAAAAAGAAATATGTTTAGGGTGAGAGTGAACTTGGGACAGATGAATCATTAATTAGTCGTGCGAGTGTTAGTTTGAAAGCACGATTAGTATGGGATCTCATGATTTCTATTTTATTTATTTATTTTTAAAATTAAAAATTAAAACAATGGGTTAACATTTAACCTCACCTAAAAACAATAGAAATAAAGGTTCACACATGTATGATGTATATCCCATAAAAAAATGGATACATACAGAAATAAAGGTTCACAAATCTATTTTAT